ATCCACCGGATCGTAACTTTTATAAGAGCACGAATCAAGTTCACTTCAAGAGATAGACGTAACGATTAATAGATTTGGCCATATCTTCCTTAGGAATTAGTAACCACGGTGACCCCTCTCTGAATCAAGTACGTTCAACTAGCTTTTATCCGACAAGGAAGTGTCTGCAAATGCAGAAATGAAGCCATGGTTGACAATCCTTTCATTATTGAAATTTCAGGGTTAATGAAAGTTCAAGCTAAAAAAATACTTTCACCGTACTCACCCGAGCATACAATTGATTTGCTTGCTACGCGCTCTGTGCGACGTCAAAATTTGAATCAAATTGCATGACTTAAAATAAGCCAATAGAGTTGTACCGTTTTGAGGGCATACGTAGATGCACTTCTGAAGTACGCGCAAACTTGTTTCCTACTGTCATAAAGATGCTCATTTATCTACAAAACGAAGAGAACGAATAAACTAGGCACCGATTGTCACTCGCAGTCTTTGCAATGCAATTCTTGCGTGTCTTCGACTGAGCTACCAGGTCAGGTGACAAATTATTAACAACTAATTCAACAATGCTGCAGACAAGCAGCTAATTAAAAGTAGTCTCCAGAGTAAACAGATCACTTCAGTAACAGCAATGCTGCCTGAAAGCTAATTAGAGTTAATACAGACCTTAGAACGATTTTCCAAAAACACTTTTAAGGCCCACACAACAATAACATCTTCGCGACGGAAGCCCTGCAATGCAAAACTATAACGGAAAAAGTGAAAAACAACAATTTACTTTGCCCGGTATCTGACTAACAGCATGAGCAATAATATTGAGCCTTGAACTGCTCAAAAACGGCATGATGCAGGTCAGGTCGTCCGGCTCAGCTGCCAGCAGAAGTTTGTAGTCAATGTCTAAAAATAAAATGGCCAGCATAAGCATCTATTAATTATGCAATAGGAAATCCTGATACCTTTACATCCCTTGAGAAACATATCTAACGCTGCTACGTGCTGACCAGCTGCCAACTTTGCTTCGCAGTCCTTTGAATACTTTTCGATCAGTGTGTAGTACAACCTGAGTTTAACTAAATCGTCCCCCCGTATTAAAGGGAAAACTCTTTTCTCCAACTGAGCTTGAAAAAAATCGAAGTATTCAGTAAATCGGTGGACCCATGTTCTTTTCGCGAATAATTCGTAAAGTTGATGTGGTGCACAGCTGAAATTATTGTTAGAGAAGCAATACGATTCTATGCATACCAGAAATCCATCAGTAGGTACTCAAGATGAGACATATACACTTCCTGATGAGGGATATCCAGATGTTCAGCAAGCTGTATCGCTGTGTTGAAAGATTTCTCATCACTGGTTCTTAAAGAAAAATTGTTTATATGAAACTAAAGTCATAACTGCTTACAGTGAATTAGTATCTGTAAATAACAGTTTCATCCCTTGCTGCGACTGCAATAGTCAAAAGCCGTGTCTGTGTAGTGTCCATGCATATATATAGCAAACTCCCTATATGACAAGGGATTCAGACACGGAACTAGTGTAGAATCTCATCACTTCCTAATGGTCACGAAGCGCCGCTTCTGACTGAAAACATCTAAAAGAGCCACGACAGCCAATGAAGGTAAACGTCGCTTTGACATAAACGAGTTTTAAAGACCTGACAAACTCTGCCATTCAAAATGGAAATTAACACCAGATTCGCAGTTCGCTACAGCTGCTGTACGAAAAGCGGAAGAACGTCCTTGAATGGCAGGAGAGATCATCGATTTCAGCGAGAACAAGAAAAAATGCTTAAAGTCTATGCCAAAACCCTGGAACTTCACCGAAAAAGAAACGCGACATTGCAGGGCAATGGTGAAATCATATAGTTAAGTCGCCGACATCTCGTCATGATGGTGAACAAGTGCTAATGCAGAGACCAACAGCGATGGCTGGAGATGTAAAAAAGCGAAGTTACAGAAAGCGGTGGCTGCAGGAAACTGGAGAATTAATATACAGCCACGTTTTTCTTTTAGTGGCGCGGACGGCAAAGAAGGTGGTTTCAAGCGAATTACACAGCCAGAAGAACGAACCCTTGCATACAGCCGCCAGTCATTGGAAACGATGAACTGACAGTTCGTGAAGCTGCTGAATAGACTCTACCGCCTGTCCAAGAATTTATATTGAGGAAACATTTTCACTAAATGACCTGCGACAACTGAACATTCTCTGCACTGCCTCCAAGCAGGGCAAAATTTGAAGGGCTATTTGTGTACAGAGGCGAAAAGTCTAGCGGGTACGAAAGACTATGTGCGAAAATTCTGCGATGTGAAGATGAACGCTTGGTCACTTAGATACGCTGGATTTTCGAGAGCATATGGTAAAAGGAAGGAATGCTTAGAGAGTGGATGAAGGTAATGATCAACCGAATCTTTAAACGTGGGATTCACTCTGAATGTTGTAACTACCAAGGGATCTTCTCATGCTTGTATTCACGATTTTCGCACGATTCACGGACCATCGGCAGACTAGAGGAGAAGGTTGAACAGTTACTGCGGTGAATCAGACCGGATTCCGCATTGGATACTCTTAGATCAATAAGATATTCGTGGCGAACAATCGAGCAATGCCGGAAGTACCAGATTTCTTGACATGTTTTCAACGCAGCCTTCGCCTCAGTCCACCGCCTCACCATGTAGGAGATTATCCGTCAGTATGGCAGCATTCCTGATAAAATTGTTAAACTGACAGAGACTGCACAATGGAACATCGTGCGTGCGCAGTCCAGAGCTAAGGCGGATTATCGGTATGGCTTATGCGGCATTTACCAAGGAGAAATGCCCATGCCACTGCCTTTCAACATCGTTGTTGACCAGGTAATGCGGGTACAGTCGTTCCAAAAGGTACGGAAGGCTTTATTATCGGC